CTGTGGGCATGGTCACACCAGTCTATTGCCTGTGTGTCAAGAGCTTGTTCAGTGCTGCAAAAGGAATATGACCACTGGTGTAACTGCTTCCATGCAGCCCTGACCCTGCCTAGGTCCCGGCACAGTTCTCAGGACAAACAGCTGAACAAAGGGTCAGCCAGTGGCCCTTATCCTCTCACCTTGTAGGCCAGCCCAGGCCCCCAGTGGTCATTACCTGCTCTGTTAAGGCCCACTTTGACAGGGTCAAGACTCAAAGGTTTACTGTTGGTTAGAGCCACATACCTTTTGCCTCCCTACCTCACCGCCCTGAGCACTGACCCTGAAGGTGTTAGGCACAGATTTAATCAGAAGGGCTCAGGAAGCCATTGACAGCAAGAATGGCTGTTGTTTGCTAGAACACACTGGGTACCTGGAGCCTCACCTTTTGAAGGGAAGGTTCCTGGTCCCAGCATTCCTGAAACTGCTCACTGTGTGATAACCCCACATTACCCAGGACCCAGAACTTGGTCTCCTTGTCCAGAGCCTGCATCCCTTTCATGACCTAAAGCATACTTTGAGGCTAGAAGTCAGACTCACCACTTCCCCAAGACTGAGCCAGAGGGGTGGCTCACGAGGAGTGCTAAGAGACCTGCTCCCAGGGTTATCCACACTCCTGGCAATGGCTGTTGACATTGGACCCTTAACTTTCTTGTTGCTTTGGAGCCTGTCCTGGAACTAGCTCTTGTAGACCAGGCCGAACTCACAGAGATCCACCTGCCTCTGCCTCTGCACCACTACTGCCCAGACCTTTCTAATTTTCTGACTTTGCTTGGTCACAATACCAGGGTAGTGAGGAGCATTGGAGTGTTAGATTGTACTCAATTCTGAGCCCAAATGAGAACAGACCCAAGCTGATTCCATCACCCACTCTCCCTGAGGGCTGCTTCATTGATCAGGTCTTACCCCTTGGAACTGCCTGCTTCCTATTACTCCAAAGGTCAACAGTCTGGCCTCCTAGAACAGTATCTGAGGCACAGCCTCATTTCTTTCCTGCTATCTTCCCCAAGAGCAATCCTGCCACCTCTGTGTAGAAGGAAGATGGCAAGATACCAGAGGTCAAACCAAAATGATAATGATAGATAAGAACTGGTGATTGTGGGAAAGCCAAGTAAGTCAATGCCTGAGCTGGCTGGAAGAGGAGTGCTTACCTAACGTCCATCCAGAACCGTGTAAACCAGAAATGGTGTCCCAAACCTGTAATCCTAGCACTTAAGAGGTTTGGGAAGGAAAATCAGTAATTCAAGGTCATCCTTAGCTACTTAACACATATAGATAAACACTCTACTCTGAGCTACTTTCTCAGAAACAGGAGGTCACTAAGTTTCCCAGATTTGCCTTGAACTCACTCTGTGGTTCTGGCAAGCCTTAAACTTGTGATCCTCCTGCCTCAGCCACCCAGGAAGCTAGGATTATGGTCCTAGGTCACCAAGCCCAGGTAAAGAAATTTAACTTAAAACCATTAAGGTCTTCTTTGTAGTCAAATTCTTGAAGAGGTATATAACAGACTTTTTTTTTTTTTAAAGATAAGAATCTACGTCTAGTTGCATTCAAGCCTTGGCAGATTTCAAGATCTGTGAAGTTGTCTGTAAACTAAGTTTAGGCAACATAGTTTAGATGCCCTCCAAATAAAGTTCTGGGGTCTCTGTGTCAGTAAAGAATCGTTTCACTTCCTCCTTTCACTTTCTTAAGCTTTTCAGATATAATCTCATTATTTTTGATTATGTGTACATATATATGGGGTATGTATATTAGTGTTCAGGTGCCTGAGTCATCTCTTCAGCACCTATCCATTTATTTATAATTTGTGTGTGTGTGAATTAGGGGTCAGTTGTTTGCTTCCTGTCTTGTCAGTTCCAGCGATGAAGCTCAGGCTGTCAGGCGTGGCAATGTCTACCCGCTGAGCCACCTCACCAACTACTACTCAACCACATTTTTGTTTGGTTGGTTTTGTTTTTTCAAGACAGGGTTCTTTGTGTAATAGTTCTGGCTGTCCTGGAACTCGCTCTGTAGATGATGCTGGCTTTGAACTCAGAAAGATCTGCTTGCCTCTGTGTCCCGAGTGCTAGGATTAAAGGTATGTGCCACCACTGCCTAGCTGTTTACCACTTTTTTTAAAACTCCCCTTCTCCTCTTCCCCCCTCCCAATCCACTCTTCCTCCATTTGTGTTCAGAAAAAGGCAGGCCTACCATGAATATCAATGCCTGAGCTGGCTGGGAGAGGAGTGCTTACCTAATGTCCATCCCCAGAACCGTGTAAACCAGAAATGGTGTCCCAAACCTGTAATGGCATATCAAGTTGTAGTAAAATTTAGTACCTCCTCATGCATTAAGACTGAGCCAGGTGGTGGTGTATGCCTTTAATCTCTGTGAGTGGAAGGACAGCCTGGTCTACAAAGCAAGCTCCAGAGCTGACTCCGTAACTACTGAACAACCCTATCTTAAAAAAAAAAAAAAAAAGACTGTGCAAAGCAACCCAGTATGAGGATGAGGAAGCCCAAGGTACACAAATACATATATTTGTAACATATATGCAGAGGGCCTACGTCAGTCCATGCAGGCTCCTGGGTGTCTCTCACTTTTTCTTCTTTTTTTTTTTTAAAAGAAAGGCAAGTTTTTGCTATGTAGCCATAGCTAGTGTAGAACTGGGATCCTTCTGTTTTTTGAGTTCTGGGGTTGGGATTACAAGTGTGTGCCACCTCAACCACTACACATTTTGGCCTCTTCATTTTTATTTATTTAAGATAGAATCTCTATGTAGCCCTGGATACCCTGGAACTTACCCTGTAGATCAGCCCTGCCTCCAGTGGTGGGGTAGCTACCAGGAAGATGCCTTGGATATGGGTTTAAGCCAATAGAATTAGCTGGCTGGCTACTACATGGGTGTTCTGGATCCCAGTGTAGCACTGAGCCTATCTCGGGGTGAGATTTTTAAGCACAAAAACCATATTCTGCACTGACATACTTCAGTTAACGGAAACAGTCCGCCAGAGGTGGAACTACAGAACCCAAAAAGCAAGGTTCGTCCATTTAAGAGTTTCCCAGAACTATGGACTGATGGATTAGGTCTTTATTTTGTTTTGGCAGGTGGTGCTATTCATTTGCTGAGATTTGTGTACTAATGGTGCTTCCCTCATGGAGTCAACTGTGTGCTGAGTTCTGGGGCCTGTTAAGGTTTGGGGCTCTGCTATAGCGCTGAGATTAAAGGTGTGCACCACCATGCCCAGCCCTTAGCCTTCTTGTTGCAGAGATGAGATTATACCTGTTACTCCATGCTTCAGTTACAATTCTATTCCTGTGAAGACATGCCATGTGAAATTACCTGGAACGAGTGAGAAGGAAACACGGAACACACAACAAACCTGTGTAGGAGTTTATTAGATGGGGCGTGTACAGGCTTGGGGAAGTCGGGGGGGGGGGGGGCGCTGAAGAGATGGCCCTCCAGCTTTTAAGGGCTGCCTAGCACATGTGCACGAGGGGACTGCGTGGTTACATCATATGCAGCAGCTGCATCATACGTAGATGATGCAACCATGCTGCACGTGGATCACGCGGGGTCCTTTACAATTCCCGGGCCATTAGGCACTTCTACTAGAGGGCTTGCCCGCACATGCATGGTCCTGGAACCCAGAAGTGTCAGACATGTTGTGTGGCTGAATCATTACACCGTAACCAAGGAAAGTTATCAAAGGAAGCATTTAATTAGGGGCTTACTTATGCCAATTTGTACTACAGAATTTAAATGAAGCAGTGTCCTTATCAATGATGACTAAAAATATCTTCAACTCTAAAAAATGCTGAAGATTCTCTATGTCCTGCAGTATCAAATACTCAGTTCAGTGAATTAAAGAAGCATGCCTTCTCATTCATAAGCCAGTTTGCTTTCGCTCTTTAGTAAGTGGTAAAATTGCATGCATATCAAAGAACTGGATTTTGTTTGCTGAGACAGGGTCTCACTACATAGCCCAGGTTCTCCTGGAATTCGCTAAGTAGACCAGTCTGGTCTCTCTGCTTCTCAACAAAGAACTGTTTTAGGCCGGGTGGTGGCGGCACACTTGGGAGGCAGAGGTTCGAGGCCCGCCTGCTCCACAAGAGCTGGTTCCAGGACAGAACTGTTACACAGAGAAACCCTGTCTCGGAAAATTTTTTTGTTTGTTTTAAGATAAATTTCAGGTTGATTATCAGTAAATGTATGACTTGCATATGGAAAGGGTTTTCCAGTGGAAAAGGTTTAAGAAGCTCCATTTTAACTCATTCTGAGTGAGATTTGAAGGAGAAACCTTACTGACTACCAAACAACCAAGAAAAAAAAATGAAGGTTTGATAAAAAGCGAAGTTTTACGGGCAGATCTCCAGTTATGGAGAGCCTCAATCTACGCACCTTCCATGCGTAGCAGCGGAAGGCTCTGGCAGCCAGTGGCTGGCCACAAGGGGCGCTCAAACGCCGAGCCAGCTTCCTCCGGCTCCACCCAGGGCCTCGTCGCTATGGTCCCGGCCCGCCCCACAGCCCGTGACTGCAACCGAGACGCAGGGAGTCCGGTGCGTGCGTGGTGCGTGTGTCCGTCAGTGAGCGCTTCTGTTTTCGCTGAGTTTGTTTCCTAGCCAAATTGTATTTTAGGCTGGACTTGCAGATCGGTACCCTGTGCCTCCGCAGCCTTGCGACTCGACCCCTACGGTCTCGGTCTCGGTGGAACGTTCCGGGATGGTCCAAAGATACGGGGGCGGGGTGGCATTTGCTCTTCCGTTCCGCATCACCGGAACGTGCCAACGGGAGGCCACACGGTCGCGCTGCAAACGGAAAAGACCCCCCCCCCCCACACTACACACGCGCGTGCGTGGTTTGCGGCAGAACGTGACAGAAGGCGCCGACATGTGTGTGTGCAAGTGCCCCGGCTCGGGTCTGGAATGTACCAAGGCGTCCCTCAGGAGGCTCGCCCGGACCCGCTTCCGTCATGGCGACTTCCTGTGCGTCACATCCGGTTCCATTCCACGCCCGTGCGTCCCAACTTCAAGCTCGCTGCGCCCTGCCCGCGGGCCGCCAGGGGGTGTGTAGCCCTCAGCCTTGACCGCGAACCCGGCTCTCCTCTGCGTGAAGCTGCTCGGCCCCGAGTGGGCGGCGTCGGGGAGCCTAGCTGCATCGTCCGTGTGCGTAGGCGGACGGCGCGCGGTCAACTCCGGTGCACCCTGCAGATCTGAGCCCCACGGAGGACGGGCATCACCTCGCCCTGGAGTCAGCCTGGGTCAAACTAGGGACCGTTGGCACCGGGAGCCTGGGTGGCGGACTTCGCAGGGCTGGACGCACAGGTAGGGTGGGCACTGGGGTGGGCACCGGCGGGATCGCGGGCGGGCTGTAGCCGCAGCAGGCGTTGGGAAGGAGGCGCCGCCCGAATGGCAAGTGCAGGCACCCTGTCATCTGCCTGCCTCTACTGCCCCTGGCTCCGGAAGCGTGTTATTTCGTGCTGTAAATGGGCGACGCCGCCAGGTCCCGAGCTACAACTTTATTTTAGCGAGCTAGCGGTTTGTTTTTTTTTTTTCTCAACTGGTACTTTCCCGGCATAAAACAGTTTGACTGTAACACTGATGGTTTGAATCCATGAGGCGTTCAAAAGAATAAAACAAAAAGCAAAACACCTCGATCTAGAGGTGGGTTCCTTGTTCAGTGTTTTGTTGTTTCATTAAGTGAGGAGTTAGGAAGGCTTTTTAAGTGATTCTTTTCCTGTGTAGACAGATTAGAAGATTGGAAGACAGAGAACTAAAGGACCGGTCTGCCACATGCAGCTTTGTGGCTGGTAATGTGGATGTACCTTTAATCTGCGCACACCACATAAATGGTCCTGAAAGTACCCATTCCTCAAAAGCCACCATAGCTGCAATGTGTTGCTTTAGTCAGGGGTAACCGCTCTCCCTCAGTACAAATTCTTCACTACTGACTGGCCTGATGCAGTGCCGGTGTTAGAAGCAAGATGGGGTGGACAGAATGTGAGTGCCCATTGCTAGGTTATTTCCCCGAGGTAAACTCGCAGACATGCATGATATAGGGTTGATGTGTTTCCTCTAAATCACCGCTGACCAATCCAGATGTCCTGGCCAGGTAGTTGAGAACATCCCAAGTCCTCTGTTCCATCTGCTCCTGTTCTTCCTTTCCTTGTTCTCCAGTTTGCGATGGGCTTTGAGCGTGCTAGGCTAGCCTTCTACCAGTGAACCTCATGTATGTGTGAGAACACATGTGCCATAACATGTGGAGATAGATTGGCAGGAGGTCGCTTTACTCCCTGAGCTATCCCTTCAGCCAAAAATGGACATTCTTTTGGGAGGGAGGGGATGTTTATTTCGTGTTAATATCCAGGTAACAGTGGATGACCAAGAGAAGTCAGGGCAAGAACCTAGAGGCAGAACTAAAGCAAAACCCATGGAGGAACATCGCTTACTGGTTTGCTCCGCATGGCCAGCTTTCTTATCTAACCCAGTGTAGTAAAAGGAGCAGTGGGCCACTTCCGCCGCCCAGCTCCCGCCGCCTCGCTAGCTTATACCCCCCCAAATAACAACACACAAATTGTATTCATTTAAAACTGGCCCATTGGTTTTAGCCTCTTATTGGCTAACTCTCACATCTTGATTTAACCCATTTTTAATAATCTATGTGTCACCACGAGCTCGTGGCTTACCAGGAAAGATTCAGCATGTCTGACCTGGCAGCTTCAACCCAGGACCACGAGCCCAGAGGTGGCACTGCCCACAATGAACTGGGCCCTGCCACATCATTCACTGGTACAGAAAGTGGACCACAGACTTGCCCACAGGCCAGGCCAGTGAGGTTTTCTTCTCAGTTGAGAACTCTAACTTACGTTAAACTGACCACTGCTTCCCAAGCCTCTGACACCAACTGGCTCACAGGAGGCCATGTTACCCAAGGCCCATCCTGTGGATCCCAGAAAGACTCTGGGTTTTGTAGCTCTGGCCCAGAGATAGATCTAACTGGATCAGATTCCCCCAAGAACTCCTATGGGCTCTCGTCTGTTGCCAGGGACTTGTGAGCACAGAAGCAGTAGTCAAGGCCTTTTTGTTCCCATGGGTTGGAAGAGGTCAGGTGGGCACCTCCACCTCAACTTCTACTACCCTGATTCTGGAGCCTTCAGAAACATGAATACACATACAGACAGAGACGTGGGCGCTCACACACACACCCTCACAAGACTTGGACACAGATCCTCTTCATCCCTCCCAGGGACTGGAACACTGTCCTACTTAAGGATGATGGCCAGACATCCTCTTGGCACATGACTGGAGCCTTCACTATGACTGTGTGGTGCAAGAACATGTCAGTCTCACATAGGAGACCCACAGTCTGTCACCTAGGTGTCTGGCCAGGAATGTGTCAGCTGCAAGCTGCTCAGGAGAGACCTGCTCGCTCCAGGTCACGTGGTGGCTTCTGGCCCTTCTTGCGGGCCTTTCGCAGCCGCTGCTCGGCCTTCATGACCGCCAGGTTCTGGCGCCGCTCATCCTGATGCTGCTGCGTCTTCTCTACCACGTGCTCTGAGCGCTTTTCCCACCGCTTCTCCCCTCCGCTTGCCCTTCAAGGCTTCCCGCAGCAGGTGCTCATTGTCACGGATCTTCACACCCTCAGCCTTGTACTGCAAGTTAGTCCACTTCATCTTGGCCTCCAGTTCTTGGACCTTGCCTGCATCCTGGTCTCACAGCTTCTCCAGCCGGCCCTGCCGTGCCTGCACACAGCAGCTGCCTGTAGTTCCTGCCTGTCAGTGGTGTCAGGCTTCCTTTCACCTTCTGCCACTTCTCCTTCTGCTGGGGCTTGCTGGCTGGCTCCTCTTCAGTCGTTTCCACTTATTAAAGATAAGCCCTGACTCCTGCAGCTCCTTGCAGGCCACATCTGGGATGCCTCGGCTAGCTCCTCCTTGTTCTCTGCCTTTGCAGCCTTCTCCTTTGCTCGAAGCTCCTTCCACTTCCTTTTCTTCCGTTCCCTCTCCTGTTTCCTCCACTGTCTTTTCTCTAGAGTGGCAGCAGACAGCTCCTTGGTGCTACCCTGGTCCCGGGCAGCCGCTCTCGCAGGAAATCCAGTGCAAAGACAGAATCAGGTGCTGTGACTTGGCCATCTTCAGGGGACTCCAGGGAGCTGGAGTTCTTGGGTTTCTTAGTCCTAGAAGAGGTAGGAGTCGTCTTCCCTGGGGGCTTAGTCTTGTGCTCTGTAGCCTTCTGTTCCTGTTCCCAAGATTTCTTTGTGTTTTTTTCCTTTTCTTTTTTGGGGGCCCGGCAGCTTCCAAGTGTTTTGTTCTGACAGCCCACTTGCTCCCCTGCCGCTCGGGGCCAGGCTGTGCGCAGATCTTCTTGGCCCAGTCCTGCAGATATGCACCCTTGGCTTGCAGGGAGACCATGGTTGGGGGCCACACTCGGAGGTTCTGCGGTCTTCTTCTCCGCCGGAAGCACCATGAGCGTAGGCCAAAAATAGACATTCTTAACCTGAGATTCATGGAACTAGAAAATGGAAAAAGTAAACATTGAATGGTGTAAAAATGGTATCTTGAACCGGGCATGGTGGAGTGTCTGTGATTCCAGCATTCTGGAGACTGATACAAGAGAACTGACACATTCAGGGCCACTCTGGGCTCCCATACAAGATCCTGTCTAAAAAAATAATTGGTAATCTCACTAGATTACCAATTGCCTGCTAATCCCAGGCAAGCAACTGTTGGTTCTTGTAGCTTTGACGTTATGTCTTTGCTGTTGATCTAGAGCACTGTGTGGCTTGTTTTCCTTTGAGCTCTGTATGCACATCTTTGACAGCCTAGAGTAAAAGCTCACAGCTCAGGTCCTGTCAGCAAGGGAGTCTTTTTGTTTGTTTGGAACAGACAGGACTTCTCTGTACAGCCCTGGCTGTCCTGACACGCACTCTGTAGCCCAGGATGGCCTCAAACTCAGAGGTCTGCCTGCCTCAGACTCATGAGTGCTGGGTTGAAAGGTGTGTGCCTCCACTGCCTACCCAGCAGGAGAGTCTCAATAATCAGGGGAAGGGAAGTTACATCTTGGTTTTTATCTGTTCCTAGAAGTACGTTTAATCTGAGAGGGTCATGGTGACTCAGACTTTACAGCCAGTGATAGATAGGGTAGGGTGGCTCGTTCTACATACCTCAAGATCAAGTTGAGCAGCTGTAACTGTCTCCCAGGCCCACGTAGGTAAAATCAGTTGCCAGTTCTTACGCAAGCAGCTTGTTGCCAGATCTCTGCTGACCTTAGCTTTTTGCAGGCCAAAGTCTTTCTTATCTTTATAGTTGTCGTGGATTGTGGGTTGGGAAGGCAGAACTGGACCAGGACTGGGAGAGTCAGACTCTGCCAGTCTAGAGCTATCCTTGGTTGATCTGTAGAGTCAGACTCTGCCCTCAAAGGTCTTTTCTACTTCTCCAGGAGCTTGTCCATGAGGTGTTATAGTAACCAACAAATAATCTTTGATATTTTAAAATTTTTATTTTATATGTATGAATGTTTGCTTTCTGTGTTTCTCAACCCTGTGTATGTCTGTTGCCCTCTGAGACAAGAGGGCATTGGATCCCCTGAAACTGGAGTTTCAGATGGTTATATGCCACAGTGTGGGTGCTGGGAAGCAAACCTGGGTCCTCTAGAAGATCAGCCAGAGCTCTTAACCGCTGAGCCATTTCTCCAACTCCAAATGATCCCTTTAATTCAGCGCTGTGTGGGAGCGGTGAACCGGGCGGTAACCAGAGTGCTGCCTGCATCTGTTAAGTGTCCTTACTTCTGAATCTGGTGTCTAGAGTCTGAGTTTCTCTGTGTAATGGCCGTGGCTGTCCTGGTACTGACAAACAGGATTATTCTTGGTGCTCAGTGTTGTTAAGAGCCCTTCCAGTCCTCAACTTGACATAGGTAATGCTCAGAAGTTGCTTCTCTTAATATCATCGTGTGATGACTTTTATTTTCTAGAATGTATGTAGGTGTTTTGCCTGCATTTATGTCTGTGTACTGCTTGAGTGCGTGGTACCCACAGGGGCTAGAAGAGAGTACTGAATCCCCTGGAACTAGAGTTACAGATGGCCGCGAGCTGCTGTGTGGTTGCTAGGAACTGAGCCTGGGTCTTCTGGATGAACAGGCAATATTCTTACCTGCTGAACCATCTCTTTGGCCCTAACGATTTCTTTCTCTTTTTTTTTTCTTTTTCTTTTTTTTTTTTTAATGGTATTGTGAGTTGAACCTTTGGCCTCATGTATGCTAAACAAGTATTCTATTCTGTCACTAAGCTATATACTTTTTATTTTTAGACAAAGTCTCACTCAGTTGCCTAT